TTCAACAGTTTGAGTAACTCTTAAAGCTTTATATTGTACAACAGTGCAATATTGCTAATACCATGATAGCATACAGATGTCACAATGTTGAAACAGAGAAATGAAAGACAGAAAGAAGTAATGAGATATCCAGGATTTAAGTATGATGAACAATATATGACTGTTGAAGTAAAAAACAGAAGTGTCTGTAATACCATATGTATCTGAAAGAAATAAGGTAAAGTTATTAATAAATTAAAGTGCTAAGCCAGTACTTCCGGTCCTGTTCTTGGAGAATTCCAACTGGCAAAGGCTCTGGAAGCGTGGGTGCTCTGGAACACAGGACCTTGATTTGAAATCCTGACTTTCTGGGCACAGATTGTAAATTGCTAGTGAGCTCATTTATATGATTAAAAAAATAAAAATCCCAAATGAATAATAAAAAAAAAAAAGGACTCTCCTTTTTACTTTTGGCATGCATTTTATAAAAGAAAAAAACCATCACTTGAAGGTAATTTAATTCTATTCTAAAGCATAATACAGAAGCTTGCGTTGTATTTGGAATGTATTATGTTATTTTTTATTTTTTAAAAATAGTCCAAAGATCCCCTTTTTTATTTTTTTCTCCTAAACAAGAAACTAATTCTCCAGCTCAAAGAAATATTTGGATCAGCCTTTTACAGCGAAGGAAGTAGATGGTAAGATCCAAAGCAAGCAATTCAGATTTGGAAGCATTTTATGAACTACATTCTGAACCACTTATGTAGTCTAGCTGAATTTTTTATGCTTTGCTTTTTAAATAAGCAAAATGAGAGCAGCAGAATTCGTTTATGTTTAAAATTAATGAGAATAAAATAATAAAATAAAAAATATGACATAATAATGCAAATGCTTACCATTTAACACAGAATTCTGAAAGAAGAATTACAGACAGCTGTAGCTTTAGTCACATGACCAAGTTGTGTTGTATTATAATTTACCATTCACAAGAAAAGTCAAGAGCATTTGTTTCCCATTTTGTTTTAAACAGTGAATGACAATACAGCAGTGATTCTTAGGAAAGCCTATTTGACACATCTTTTTCCCTTCCATTAAATGAATAATAATTAAAAAAAAAAAAATCCCTGAAGACACATATTTGATTTAAGTGTGGAAACAAAGCAACAAAGGAACCCCAGCTTATTCACGTACCAATGTGAAACATTTCGCAAATTCAACTGCATTGAGTAGCCCACTGATTTAATCTAGAGTGCCCTGAACATAAACAAGTGGAATGAAGTTCATTATTGTAAGAGGTGTTGGGCATTCCTTAACTTAGTAAATTTAGAAACACACAAAATAAAATTTTAACATAATATTAATACTTACTTCCTGGGCAATCACCAACGCTTAACTCCTGCAACATATGTGGAGAGCAGAAAACCTAAGCATTTTGTTGGACTAAAAAAACTATATTGGATCTACATATGTACCACTGCACTCAGTTTCATTTTGGCATCTGTCTTCTACTGAAAAGTGTCCGAATTAAAGACTTGTACAGGACAACAAAATAAATATGTACTTAGTGCATGGAGTTTTTGACTGATATGTTTTGTACCTTTGACCAAGTGTGCTCAGTATCAAAGAATAAATTAAATAACTGGCATAGAATACTTTCAGCAGATTAATTTTGCTATGACCTCCCTTAAAATATGTATGACGAATCAAGAGAAGAAGAATTAAAACACATCCATTTTTAATATGACTATACTTTGTACCACGTCTTATTAAATTATTTGCAATAAAATGAACTACAGTGAGACTTTCATTAAAGTCTAGGAATTTTGAAAATATGTATATAAACTTGGATTATTTATAGATATATATGTATATACATATATACATGTTGAGGTACAGTTTATATAAGTTTAAACAGAAGATATCTCAATTTAGCAAAACTGTCTAAGAACTATTTGAAATCCATAATGACCTTAATTAGAAATTCCTCTCTGTCATATTAAAAAGGCAACAATAACAATGAAAAGAAATCTCCTACAATACTAGTCCCCTAAGAACCATTCTTGGGTGGCAACTTGAAATAAAGCACAACGCATTATGTTCCCTTATCACCTACACTATGTTTCTTTTCTCCTATCATAACAAACTGATCTATATGTCTCCTGATAAATAATACTATCCAGGTTTCATTATGGATGCAAAACTAGATGCAAATCACAAAATAGACATTTTCTAGCAATAGTCAATCATGATTTTATAAGCCTTCATCAAGGTCAATACTTCTGTTTGTACTACTCACTTGCATATTTATTCTTTATTGTGAACTCCAGATAATGAGTAGCTCCAAACTCAGATGGCCAGTCTCAATAAACAGAACTGTCATAAGCATTTGTCATGTTATATATTGATAGACTCTAACTGAAGACAGAGCACTTAGATACTATCCGCTGATTGTCATAAATGCTCAGAACATTTATGGATCTCAAGTTCAGACATGTAAAATCAGTGTGGTCACAAATGCTATTGACATATAAAAGCAAGCTCAAAAAGTATACATGTTCAAAAAACCAGAGAAAGATATTTTCATTGAAGTAGTGGCTTTTTAAACTATCATTTGATTATACTTTCACTTGGGTGTTTAGTCCACATCAGTTGTTTATGTGAGCAATCTGTTTGCAAGACATACAAATGCAAAACTGAAAAACCCTGACATTTGATATTTTCCTCCACTTGAACTGTTTTTAAAAAGACTGACTGAGCTTGTGACATTCCATTCAACTACAGCATACAGTACTAATAAGCCAGTCTGACTCATGTATATGATAGTTATTCTCTAGCACTAACTTTGGCTTTCTGCTTGAAAAACCCCCGTATATCCTATTTTTTTGTTTCACTTTAAATCATATCAAAAATAATGATCCTTGACCAATGCCATTATAAGGCACTGATGACTGATTAGGTTAAATGTTTGAGGTCATTCTTATTTACTACTGATCTTCAGGAAAAGTATTATATCCCAGTCATCAGTACTTAAATGTTGTTCTATATTTTAATTGCACAGTGTTTGTTCCAAGAATGAACTTATTTTTAAAGTATTGAACACATATGGTACATGAGCCTGAGTAAACATAAATAAATGATAAATTCAAAATTTAAAATTTTGTGTTGACCTAATATAACTGAGATCCTTGGAAGTTATTTCTCATTTTGTATCTTATTAAAGGAAAGTCATTAAAGTGTCCTCCCTGCTTCTTTCTGAAGTAATCAGATACAAAATTCCTTGCTATGATCTCAGAAGAAACCTTTTCTGACAGTGCAATGCACTGTCTATTGTGCTATGTAGATTAAAAGGGAAAACATACAACTAATACACTTTCTAGTAAAATTTCTGAAAGAAGGCCTCCCAACTGTATGCTATTGTTCAACTGTATGCAGATGGTACCTTCTGAGTTTTTCGTTACATATTCATAGTAAAAACTTTAATCACCAATTAATCCAATCGCATTCATAAGACTGCCATTTTTGTGGCAAAAAGTCAGCTAGAAAATCTCTAGGAAATAAGATTTGTGAGTGTGGTCTTAAAAAATCCCAATGTTTTCCAAAATTCCACTTTCGCTACACAAACTAAGCATCAAAGAGGAGCACAACGGAAAATTCACATGACAAGCTTTTATAATAATGCTGGCAAAGCACATCTTTGAATGAATATATAGATTATATAAGTATGTCTGAATAAAGTCACTGAGTCAGTCATCTTTCAAAGGACTAGTTCTGTCAGGGCAAAAAGAAACTAACTAATAAGAGCATTTAATTCTTCATGTAGTAAAAAGGAGAGACACTTCTCAGTTCTTTAATTTTCTTTCTATGTCTAGTCTTGGTCACAGCTAGTGCTGCTCTGTAATGTTATTTGTGCATTTGACTCCCACATGTTTGGGCAGAATTATAAATATATATTAAACCAGTAGGAAATGAGGGGACATTTCTGGTTAGAAGAATATGCTGGTAACTGCCCATGTTGAAAATTACTCAGATTAACAGTATAAATATATACATATATATATATATACATATAATGCTACCTCCCTCCTCATCCTTGATATGCATGTAATTTCGTTTCTGATTTAAAACAAAGCAAGAATTAATAATGACAACAATCTACATGAGAAACTCAAGGTTCAAGGTAGTTTGTCCTCATGTCTCCAGGATCTTCTGCATTTCAGGAAAATGTTAGTACTGACAGTTGTCTTTTGAACCAGTGCCAAGAGAAATTAAAGTAAGACTAAAAATTCTCACTTTGGTTACTGTTAATGTATTACCAAACAAAATTAGGCAGTTACCACTTTCTTTATAGAGATGAGATACAGAGATTAAGTCGGTCTATCCTACAAAATAAATTTTTCAAAACTGGAAATGGAATTATTTTGAACATTTAGAGCTAAGTAAATATTTCTACATTATATATGGAAAGATCTTACACACTGTACTGATCTGCTACAAAAAGCTGCACGATGTTACAATACTTACATGAATTAATAATGCATTTTCAATAGCATGCTCAGTAAAAAGAAAAATGAATATTTGGTTTTGAAGACATTGATTAATAGTGGATCACAAATGTGAGATTTCTTTTGGTTTATGTCAAACTAACACTGCAGCAGACACTTTTCAGCACAAGAATATTCCTTGAACTCTACTCAGATCACATATCCAGTTTTGAGAGAGACTGTTTTTCATTCTGCACTATTATACAACACTTCTTTTTGCCTGGCACTTGACAGGCATTCCCATCCTTTGCGTTTACTTTACTTCACTTCCTCAAAGCTGAGGCTGCAAAAACACAGCCAGCAGCCTCATAGAGCTTTTCATGGAAAACAGCCATTCTAAACTGGCACCTAACTTTACTTTATTATTCAGGGAAGTTTAAAAGTCTGAGATGATTTTAAATATTTATGCCAGTAAACGAAAAGTAAACTGATGAGAAGTATAATAATAAAAGAAAAAATGAAAACAATGTAAGCCATTACTGAAGTAGCTCTTCTTGTGTAAGCTCTGACGTTCTTTGCTTGCCAGTCACCAGCTCCAACTCATCCTTCAAATCCTGGATCTCCTTTTTCAGCTGGACAATCATCTGTAAACAGCAAGGCATAAACCAAACATCATCTACAAATAATAGCTAGTTTATGATTTTTGCATTAGAAGGTTGAGTTTAGGTAAATATTATACTTCGGTTTTATCTTTTTTTAAACAAGGTCTTTTTTAAAAAAAACTGTTTAAATGCCTTAAATATACCAAGCACCTTTTTTTTTTCTTTTTCCATTTATAAAATAAAGAAAAGTCTTCCAAACCCAGTCAATTCTTGTGGTAGAAGACATGGCTGTACAGAAAGAGTTCAAAAGATTTTTTGCGAAAGAGAAATATAATTTGACATAGGAATAAAAAGAGCTTTTCTTGTTAGTTTTGCCTGTTAATAATGAAAGGACACTTAAGAACTGACATCTTTTTTAGAGAAAGGGCAACTACACACCAAAAGTGATTTTTTTTTTACTTTCCCTTTAGAAAAAGAAGTTCCAAAACACTTTTGTTAGAATTATAGTACACTACACTTGCAGGATGCATCCGTTGCTAACAACAAACTAATATCCTAAGGCAACTAAATTAAACTGCATTAATGAATAGTAAGGATTGTGAGAAAATTGCTTGGAGAACTGAACTTGATTTTTAAATTCTAATAGTTAATTGTTGGAACATTACTTTTGGAAAAAAACCCATATTTTACAAATGAAAATATTCTAAATATGCATTTGATTATTTCTTTTAACTCCAGACCTACTCTTAATGTACTTTTTACAACAAAAGTATGAAAGGTTAACTTATTATATTTTATTTAAGGATCTATTAAAGTGATGAACTGTTAATTAGAGAAGTGGCAAAACCACTTAGAGAATATTGTAAGCAAAATGTCTTAACCTAATTCCATATTGCCCCACTCTGGTGCCACACACCGATGTAGTCTTTGCCACCTTCTGAGTCGAGCAAATAAAACTTGGGGTTGGACTATAAAATGGTAGATAGTTGAATGATAGCACCATCTCTGTTCAATATTCAAATTTGTTAGCATGATTAATTTCAACTTGACAACAACAGAAATACCAGCTTCAGGATGTGGATAAAAGATTGATTTTCAAGTATTATTAAGATAAGCAAAAATCTACAGAAGCAGAACAATTCAATTTCTATTTTACATGAATGCCAGAGGAGAGGAGGTTTAATTCAGGCTCAAGACTTTCCAGTTTAAATCTTTGGTCATGAGTGAGAGAGGTTCAAAGACGAGTAGCTTAAAAGTACGATGGGTACAAATTTATCTCCTCTAGTAAGATAAAAAGTCAAGAAGTCTCCATTATGTAGAATAAAGTTTACCCAATAGGCAGACTTAACTCAGATCTATCAAAAAAGTATTATGAACTCCCTTTATAAGGCATGTATTCAACTCACAGATGATAAAAACTGCCAATAAATTGTGTTGGATTTTTATGGGAAAAAAAAATCTCCTAAGTTGAGCAATTTACTGGATAACCAGGTTGCACGCTGGGAATGTAATTAAGGTAGTTAAGATGGGCAACAAATTCCACAATGAGCATAGAGCCATATAAAGTCAAGGTACCTGTGTAACCCTGCCTGTTCCACAAGGGGAGATGGTTTTCTAACTCTCACAAGTCCACTTTGCTTTACTTGCTAAATGATCCTGCAGAGCAAGACATACCAAACTTGTGGAGTATAGCTCCACAGGATGTAGTAAATGCTCAGGAGCCTGCATGTGTTCCACCTCAATCAAAGGCTTCTGTGGCCATGGAAGAAATGTTTTGCATGATTTGCTACTATAAAGCCTATGTAGGAAAGAAAAAAGAGGACAGATAGACAGAAATGAAGAAGTTGTTCAATGCCTACTGGGTTTATTTTTTGGCTTTCCTTTTTTCTTAAATTGTGATGCTGTTACTATTAGAAATTGCGTAGAGAGATAAAAAAATAAATAAATAATAATACTACTAAAGAAAAACAGCAGAAAACCTCTCAAGAGTCTTCTATTCCCATTGAATTTCAAGGACAAGTGACAATAACAACAACCACCACAAAGCACAATCATTAGCGGTAACTGAAATATGCTAATTACCATCAAGTAACAATTAACGAAATCATCAATCATCTAATCCCCAAGTTTTAGACAACAGATGATTCTTACATTATATAACCTAACATTCTCTAGATTCTAGAAATCCATTTTCTATCTGCTTTATTGGTCTTCATTTTTTTCTAATGGGAACTTCCCAGAATTCTCTCTTCCTAGCTAGAATGTTCCTTGAACCAGTTTCATGGAAGAACTGCATCTGTATGTTTCTTAGCTTTATAATACACAAATTGTTTCAGTGCAGCAGTGTGCTTTCACCAAGTGAGTAGTAATCTTAGTATATTTTAAAGTGGTTTAGAGCCCTCCAATTATGTGTTTTTATGATTTAGAAATTAACACTCTGAAAAAAACCAACACAAAACCAATAAAGAAAGTGACCATTACTCCTCAGATGCTTTAAGAGCTGGTAAAGCCTTTAGAGGTTTTATAAAGGTCCACTTAATTATAGTTATGTCCAAAAGAAAAAAATAGAATGGTAGTTATTTCATAGCAAACAGTTGGAACTTGCATCTAAAAACAATTTATTGGGATGATTCACTATAAAATTCTCAACACCAATTTGACTGCTATTGATTATTAAAATGTAAAATAAGCAATCTCCTTCTCTCTGCCCCCAGACAACTCTCACCAATCTGGGGTCAATTTCTTCATTAAGAACTGCTTCATTCTTAATAAGAGCAACTCGCTGTGCAAATCTGCAGGTTGATATAGATTCCTGGAAGGAAAAGAAAAATAAAAGAGAGAGAAAAGAGAAGAATTTCAGTTAGCTTTGCACCAGGTAAGTAGACCAGACTGCTCATGAAGTCATTAAACTATGTTTCTATTTTTTTGAGAATTTAACAGAAATATTCTATCATTTCATATTCCAAAATAACAATATTCAAAGGAAATTAGGTTAGCATATTAATGACAGTGACATATAAAATTGTTAAATCATAGTACACATTTTATTGATCCAGTTAATCTCCTGATCAACTGTGTTTCAGGTAAGTCCCTGATTGGTACTATAGGATAAGAAAGCCATGCTACTCAGAAGGTAATAAGGTTTGAGTGATGAGAAAAAGAGAAGATTATCTAAAACTACTTTTTTTTTGGTTGAAAATGGGATTAGATAATTTTATGTAAAAGACAGTGGGAAAAGAGATGAAGGGAAGAGTAGAGATCCAGGAAATAAGAGAAACAAGCTGGGAGACCTGGCACTAGAAGGCATACAGGAGAACTGAGATACCAGATACAAAACGTCTGATGACCTAAGATGGGGTGCAGGAGAAAGGAAGGGAAAAAAAACAGATACAAGACTGAGTTTGGGGAGGAAACTCTGTGACAACCAGTGTGTACTCCCATCTAGGGCATACAATGAAATCAAAGATCCTTATATGTATTGTTCCTCCTTTGAAATCAGCTGCTACTTGAATGTCAGACCCTGCTAGAGAACTGTGTGATAAAATTTTTTGAGATGTAAATTCCCTTTTAAATGCAGTATAACACATGTACTTCACTACAGTAATAGAATTGATTACCAGAATCAAAGTAATTCTGCAGTTTTCATCCTCCAACATATGAAATTACCAATTGAAATGTTATGTTCATATAGTTCTTTTTTTGGTAAGACTTCTGTCTCTTTCAGTGCTTGAAGGGGTGGTATCCGAATTAGGGTTACATTAGGAAAAATACTGGTGTTTCTTGCCAAAACATAACATACACAGAGAATCAAAGGAAAGGAAGGCCTTACAATTAAGAGAGTTGTACACAGTATTAGCTGGACTCTATGTTTGCCTCTGCTGTACTGTTCATGTGCAGTGATGATCAGCTAATGCGATTTTAATTAACTTCTGCATATATATTGAGTACAGTTATATGTACAGTACACATACATACATTTCCACCAGATCTCTTTGCCCTGCTTAGTGTGAAGCATACATTAAATTAATGAGTAGCTAATCAATTCAGTTCTCAAGTTCAATATGTAAGCTTACAATTTATTTATTCTGTGCCATGAAAACAGTAATCAACCCTGACATCTAATTTCCCAATCATTTTCCTACCATGCTTATCATCACAGCACCTGAGGGCTGTAATCTCTAGTTATTGCTTTGCTGCAAGTGTGTGGAATGACTACACTTAACAGAAAGGAAACTGAAGTCAAAAATACCAAAAAAGTATATGCAGTTGCTATCAAAATACAATTTTCTGTTCCAAACACCTTCCATTTGGCTTCAGCTACAGCTAGGATAAGTAATGCATCTATAATTCAGAATCAACATCTTCATTCAAGCACTCCACAAAACTATCACAAAAAATGTGACGTAGTGATCTGAGAAATTCCATATAAACTCACTGGTAGAAGAAGAGATTTAATCTAGTTCTCTAGGAAGAACTTTCATTTGTCCTCTTCATATGAGGGTCCTTTCTTACTTTGAGTGCTCTGCTTCGTTGCTTTCATTGCAAGAAACAACACTAGATCCTTAAGAAAGTGGCTTTTATTATACAACTTCAATTCCCACTGGGTGGTAGCATTTCATTTGTGGTCTTGCGTTTCATTTGTGAATGGAACATATATCCCATGGAAAAAAATAAGCACACATGCAAACCTAACATAATGACTCATGCAGCTATCCTAATTCTGACATTTTCTAATGACTTATCATTAATTGATAGTAATTGACTTATCATCAGTTTATATTATTGAGACAATATTAACTTATCACCTGTCTGGTAATCATATTATTTGGACATATCAGATTGTGGGGAGCAAGGAAGAGATTTTGTTTTTTTGTTTTATTTTTGGGAGGACAGAACATTAGGATCTGTTGTGTGGATTGTATATGTTAAAGCAAGAACACGAAAATTGTCAGTAGTTTACTCTGCGTAATTGCTTGGGCTAAATATTCCCAAAATAGAAATCTAGAACACAATATGAACACATATACCTGATGAATTGATATACAAAAGGGTGCTAATCCCACAGAGCCTAAAATAAAATTAACAAACTTACCCAGTTGCAGTTGTAACAAGACAATATGCTTGCATAATTACATGTTTGCAAGTCTGAACGATCTGTTTTCATTTAACAGCAAAGTCCATTTTCTAAAGAAAAAGAAGTCTACAACTAGACAAAGTATGGTTTTAGTATAATGCTTTCCACTGCATTTATGAAAACAATCTTAGGCTAAATAGTTTTTTTTTTTCTTGTTTATTCATATTAGAATGCTTTGACGTAAATAAAATCAGGAAATAAATATATTATAAATGGCTTATTTTAGAATGAAATAGATTAGACTATTTCATTTGAAAGGGACCTACAATGATCATCTAGTACAACTGACTGACCAAGTTAAAGCATGTTGTTAAGGGCATTGTCCAAACACCTCGTAAATACTGACAGGCTTGGGACGTTAACCACCTCTCCAGCCTGGTCCAATGTTTGACCATCCCCTTAATAAAGAAATGCTTCTTAATCCAGCCTGAATCTCCCCTGGCACAGCTTTGATTCATTCCATCGCTGGATACCAGGGCAAAGAGCTCAGCACCTCCCTTTTCGCTTTCCCTCCCCAGGGAGTTGTAGAGATCAAAGAAGCCTCCTTTGCTTCAAACTAGACAAGTCCAAATTCCTCAGCCACTCTGCACAGGACATTCCTTACAGCTTTTCACCTGCTTTGTTGCCCTTCTCTGGATGCATTCAAGGACCTTCACATCCTTCTTAAACCATGGGGTCCAGAGCTGCACACAGTGTATGCAGACACCAACACTGCCTACAGCAGGATAATCACCTCTTTGGACCTGCTGGTTGTGCTGTCTCTGATGTGCCCTCTTGGCTGCCAGGGCTCACTGCTGACTCGCACTGAGCCTGCTGCTGACCAGCACCCCCAGAACCCTTTCTGCATGGCTGCTTTCCAGCCACTCCTCTCCCAGTTTATGTTTGTGCTGGGCATTACTCCACTGTAGGTGCAGAATCCATCCTTTTGACTTGTTAGATTTCATCCCATTAATCATAGCCTGATGCTCCAACCTATCTAGATCTCTCTGTTCCTCAAGAGTGTGAACAGTAGCTCCCAGTTTGGTATCAACAGCAAACTTGGTAATGGCCCATTCAAATCCTGCATTCAGATCAGTGGTGAATATTCTGGAGCAGAACTGGCCCTAGAACTAACCTGGAGGAACATTGCTGGAGACCAGTCTCCAGCCAGATGTAGCCCCATTCACTACAACCCATTGATAAAAAATACAGCCCTTTTTGTAAACAAAGAGAAGAAAACATCACTACACATAATTCCAGGGCAGGATATTAGTGAAGGGACATAAATGTATGTAAAAAAAATCCGTAAGTCCCAAACTACTCCATTCAATTCCCTTTCCCACCTAGTGAACTCTCCAGCTGTCTACCATACTCAATGAAGTCTTGACTCCAAAAAGTCTAACTGAAGTTCTGTCAAGGCTTTCAGTGAAAATGCATTTTCATAACTCAAAAATTCATTCATCAGGAAATAAGTAAATTTTAAAAAAAAGGAACAGTTCAATATTAGGTGCAAATCATTTCCCAACTGCTCCTGGAGTTGAGATTATTTAGAGAAAAGCACATTTCCTAAAGGATATGTCCATATCCTAGTGCAATTTACACAGATAAAATTATCTCCTGGAAACAAAGTTAAGTTTGTTTTTTTTTTATAAGGACAAGAATTAAAGCATACACATTTGAATTGTAAACTACAATAAAATTCAAAAGAGCAGGATCTTTAAAAAGCGGAAATATTTTTGTTCAAAATAGATAGAAATAACATACATCTATGTTTCTTTTGTCTATAGAGAGCGTTGCTATCATGGCAGTCATGCAGTTTCCTCCCAGGCTGTCTCTTAGCACTGAGGTCATCATAGAGTTTCGGTAAGGAATGTGGGATCGGTTTTTCTCCGCGAGGGCAATTATTACCTAAAACAATAACAAAAATAGAAAAGACTTGGAAATTTATATACCTATTAATGACTGACACATAAAAGAACAAAATCAATATGCTCAGGAACTTCTGATACAATAAAACTACCCTTATGCACCTTAGCTGCAAAGCCACTGGTTTTATTGAATGAATTTCAACTTAAATTTCAGCATGTTTATATGTCTTTGTAGGAGTTGGACCTGAAAGACCAAATAAATTAAATTTTATCATACTCCAGCCTTACAGTCTCTCAGCAACATGGAAACTGAACATGATAAACCCACAGATTTTCCTAAAACACAGGAACTTACTGAAAATCTTCCTCATACATTTTTATCTTAACAATAACATATGGATAGTATTCAAGTAAAAACTTCCTCAATATTTGCTAAAGCATGCTTTAAAAGTAATACATTCTTTAAGCATGTACTTCTTAGATGGGTTGATACCTTTATTTCTGAGAAAATGTCTTGGAAAGCGAAGCACAAATAAAAGGGGGCATGATTACAATGTACTGCTGGAAAGAAATAATTCAGTTTAGAATATATATGCCTTGGCCAAAAAGGAAATTGTACACCTCCTATTCTCAGTTTCCCTTCTCAGCTGTTTACATTATGGGACCTAATTATTATTAAATAAAAGGCTAGATTACCCCATGATTTCTTGTGATATAAAAGATTCAAACTGTACTGAAGGACTGTACTGAAAAACTGTACCTATGTGAGTTGTGCAAGCTCTCCTAAATGATTAGGAGTTGGTTTTCCTTTAATAAATATTACATTCCGGTATATATTTAATTTATGCTGCATTTACAAAAAGTATTATTTTAGTAGCAACTTTTTTGTGGCACTAGTTTCTCTTAACAGTCTTCAAAAAGTTAAAAGTTAAAACTATAAATCTTACACTGGCAGCCCTGAGAGACATGAATGAATAATATGAAAATTACTATCTTGTAAAGGAATCTGGAAAGTCATTCTTGGATCAAGGTTTTCAAATCTCATACATTACAACTTGTTATATAGAAGCATGTTAAAACTTTGTTGGTTTATAATATTGCATAGAAACCTCCTAGTAGTCCAGCACATACATTAATAAGCACACTCTCAGCCTCTGCCACACAGAGACTATAATCTGAATAGACAAGATGGGAAAAGAGCCAGAGGGAAGATATGTTATTTCCATTAAAAATGGGAACTCTGCTACGGAGAAGTTAATTTTTTCTGAAGCTCATGCAGGAAGTCTGTAGTCCAGGTGGAGTCTGAACCCTCCCACTAACACTGGAAAGCTTTATGACCGACTCTTATGATGCAAAAGCAACTGTACTGTCATAACAGATTTTGGTCTTAAGTCCCTTTAGTAAGACCTCACCTAAATCACTAAATTATTCTTTACAATCCAATTAAGGAATCTCGACTAGAAAGAGGAGAATGTGAAGGAGAGGGAAATAATGTTCTTTTATAAAGTGAGAGAAACCACCTGTACAGACTCTGAACCTGGGTCCTCTAACAGCCACCAAATATGATAACCAGAACGTTGTCTCCTTTAAGAAGGCATTATTGTCCTGTTAATATACAAAAGAGTTGGTTGTTGTTGTTTTGTTGTTGTTGTTTAATACTGAGAGATCTGAGCTTAATAATATCACTAAACCAGGGCTGTAATATGCAATATGCTGACCGAAACCAACATAATTTAAGGCAGACAGTTTCACTTTGAGTGGGTCAAACAAATCTCTTTAAAGTCTAGTTAATTTTTTAATGGGGAAGCTGTCAGAACTATAATTACTTGCACGCCCTATGATGCGTTATAGCATAGAGTAGGTACTATCACTCACAAATGATATGACTGAAATGTATGGAAATATTGTTAAGCATAAAGGAAGTCCTGAGTCTCACAAGTGGTTCTGGCATGATATGAATTGTGCCCAAGGGTCCCTGTTCCTGTCCACATCCTTTATGCAAGGAATAGATTTGCACCAGTACCTCATGAACAGGCAGCCAGAGCACGTTCTCAGAGCATCCTCAAGAGATGCTTGCAGGTACAGAGCTATAACTGACACTATAATTCCATTATAGTGTCAAATCATGTGGCAGTATCATTGTCAATTTGCAACTCTAAGTTTGGTCCAGGATACTCTATGCTGTGCATCAGAAGGGAACATCTACATACAACACACAGTTACAATGCAGTTGTAATTCCAGAACATGCTACTACATCTCTCAGACAAAGAAAAGCTACCCAGACATGGTAGTAGGGACTTTTAAGTTCCTGCTGCCATTTTAGGTCAGCTGCATGACACTGCCTTCATTCTTCTCTAGACATAAATGCCACTTGGAGAAAAAGTGCAGTTGATTTATTTGAAGATTTTTTTAACACACTGTGAATATTTAACAAGTAGATCAAGTGTGGTAATACAGACCTGTGTTCCCATTGTCATCTCAATAAAAATAATTTTACATGACTATTTTACTATGAAATGTTTAAAAATGGCATAACTCAACATTAAACCACCAATAGACAACTAAATATTTGAGAATGTAAAAAAGTTCATTTGGAGGAATCTATATACTTTAATATTAGTCACTGAAATGTCAGAATTGAATGCTTTAATTCTCACTGAACAACGATATTTTTTATAGTCTTCAGTGGTCTTTTATTTGGAAAACATTTTTATTAATGATACACAATCCTAGACAGAACCCAACATGCTTCTTTCCAACTGTATTTCTTCTGAAATAGGAATTCAGATTTGCATGAAAAAAATTTTTTTCGTTTCTACAGCACTTCAGATCTGAGTATCTCAAAACACACTACGCAGATTATCAAAATCAACCTCATATAAGCTCATGGAATGTTGCATAATAAATACATAAAATACAGTAAATAAGAAGGATCCGAGGTATAATTTCTATGATTCTGCAGTGGTCCATTTTAGAATCACTAATCCTTATCACTCCCTTTGAGTACAACTGAAATACGGACTTTTCAAGGTAAAATTCAAACAAACAGGGGGTCTGAAAAAAATGCAGGGTAATAGTAAATGACTGACTGCCACCTGCTGTGCTTTAAGCTTCTTCTTTTGACAGATGAAATATCTCTCATTGCAGATTAAATGAAATGCAAGAGATTTGTTCTTGTTAACAGAAAAACATACAACACAGAAATGAAAAATATTCTTCCCAGCAAGTGAAACAAACAGTTATATTTCCTAATCATAATTTTAAAGAATTGTCACATATAGACACCCACAAAATTTTCTGGTTTTATGGATTTCCTCAACTGTATACTTACTAAATAACACATATACTGACGTGCAAACTGAAAAGGACAAATTTAAATTTCAGAGTTAGCATTTTTTCTTCTCTCTACCTCCTTACTTCTCCCACTAAATGAAAGCCTCATAGACCTTATATGGTTGTACATAAAAATTTTTAAAGAAGCCTTAGGAAGAAATACTGTATTCTCCATCAGAATCACCCAAAATAATTAATTTCTGGCAACAAGAACAGTGTTTACTCTACTGTGAAAACAATATTATGTTTTCAGTCTTAGGAAAAACTTAATTTCTTTTACAGGTGTGAGGTCTGAAATCAAGACTTGAAAATCTTCAGTGACTCCAAATTAATAGCACAGCATTCATAAAAGAGATTTCATTCGTTGCCAAGTGTTTCTTACCCTTACTTGGTGTTTTACAGCATTCTAAACATTGAACGTACAAAACATCACAGTAGATCAAGGAAATATATATTAAAACCTTAATAATAATTACAATTGTTAACAATAAAATAATTAAAATAATAATAAATCAACAATTATTTAATTTTTGTAAAAATACAATTAATAATACTCATCATAGTTATTAAAATCTTTCATCTCCAAAGTTTGCATTCACTGTTGTTATCTTAAGAATTTATTTTTTCTCAAATTAGTAAGATTAGTTGGGAGGAATCTATTTTCTCAATATTTGCCCTTTCCATAGAGGAAAACTAAAAAAAAACAGTGAAAGGAGGATGGGGATTTTAGCATACCTTGAATCAAGAGGCTAACTCTTTTCCAGTAACAACAGCTGAATGACAAAGATTTGTGGAGATTTATTATTATCATTATTATCACTGGAGTTACATCTGTGAGTAGTAATAACTAATTATGGTAGTTACTCCATAAATACATTACCAAAGGTAACTCCTGTCTTAAAGAGATCAAAGATTCTTATTGGTAGAGGAATAAAACAACCCATGAGAGAAGAGCCTAGTAATTTACCATATTACAGTGCTTCAACCAAATAAACCCATAACACTTTAGTTCACTGATCCTTGAGTGATACATTCTGATCTCAGCTGTGGAAGGGCAAGAAGATTACACAGAACATTTTTAGTAGAAATATGGATGCAATCCTGCAAATATCTTTAGTATCGCAGATAAAACAAGAAAAGTATTTTGGAAATACTGCCCTGTACACATACTATAATCTTACTGCTTAACTTTTCAGCTTAATTTTTAAGCTTTTCCTAAATTATGTTAATTTAAAGGAAGAGTTATCAATTACATTTTAAAAAATTGCAATAAATATCCTAATATATCAAATTTTCTAAAACATTGCACATTGCTAAGCAGGGATGTAGTAAAGGGAGAAATGTTTTCCTCTATTTTACCTGTTCCAAATAATGCAATGACAAGTTAATATATTTGGCTTCTGTCAGCAAGTGACCTCCAACTCCAGTCTTCGCAACGCGCTCTGATCCAGCAAGGTCTACTAAGTGCAACTTGGAGCGTCTGATAGTTGCAGATCCAGGTTCCTTGCTGGAGATGTGAATAGTGAAAATGCAGTGAGATCGGCTGGAGGCTTGATTCATTGGTGTCTACAGTGAAAAGAAAGGAAGAATCCTCAATGTTTAGTGGGAAAATAAATTTAGGTTCTTATAGCTCAACAATCTTGCAATTAAAATCCCCTGTTCAGTTTTTTTAGCTATCGGATCTGTAATAAATATGCAAGAAGAAGCTAAAAGGATTTACCTGATATTCATATTCTGGCCAAATCCTTGGATAACTTTGATCTGGACAAATTGTGGTACAAGCAACCAAGGTTACTCCAAGATACTCTGAGATTAGCTCAGTTGGTTAGAGTCTGGTGCTAATAACACCAAAGTTGAGGGTTCGTTGCCTGTACGGGCCATTCACTTAAGAGTTGGACTCGATGATCCTTGTGGGAACCTGTGACTATGTGATTGAGCACATCAGCAAAGCAAGTGGTCTATGCTGAGGAATATTAGAAAAGGGCACCTTGATCAGAGGGAAAGTTGCTAACCCCTGATCTCTGACAGGCTCTCAATTTCCCCATTGGTGTACCCTTTTTTCCTTTTTTTAGCTTTGATAGATAGCTACCAGTGTAACTAAGATTTGGTCTCTATAAGGCTTCAGACTTTTGCATTGTTACTTTTATCAAAAAAATTAACTTGGCAGAATTGGTGCCGGAATTTTATGTGACATGGCAGAGTTTTCATAAAAGGTTTGGCTTTAAATTTATTTATTTGGAATAAACTACTGCCATACTTCCTTAACTAGACACACGGACATTCTTGGTCCATTTTTAGAGATGCTCAGTTTTAGCATCACTTTAAAGGTTTTCTCAATATATTTGAAATGGAGTACATAAAATTTTAAACTGTTCTCAGTTATTCAGATTTCAAATGACCATATGCCATCACATATGCAATTTTTTCTTAAAAAGACATATAAAATGTATTTAATCATCTAAAACACCTTTAATTTAGTTGTATGAAGATATTGTTAGAAACTTTAAAATAATTCCTTATTATCCTCATTTTATAAATAGCTAAAGGTTTAGACTATATATGGTGATTAAAAGTTAGCATACAGATAGTATTTTTATTTATAAATTATAACAAATATGTCAACATTGCTTTCAGGACTTAAATGCAGAAAAATAGGGGATTGAAATAAATTAGCAAATGAATATTATTTACTTAGCAACTAAATCTATATTTATAGCTGCTGAAAAAGATTATTAAAAAATCCTGGTTATACTGTCTACATTAATCTCTTGTCTCTACTTTATTCCTCTGTTATTCTGGAGTAATTATTTATGTAGGCATACCCTGTGATTCAGAATAGAAATATCAACACATTGTGGTTTTTTTTACATAGTCCGCTTTGATATGAAACATTGTAGATGTTAAAATAGCCTGCCCATTGCGGGTGCTGAAGATGTTGACTTGTTAATACAGAAAGGACAGCTCTTCATAGAACAAGTGCAAGCTGAATGATCCTGCAACAGGAATAATATGGACAGCTACGCTGCTTGGTTCAGTTGTCTTAGTTTCAATTTCCCCACATTTTTTTTCAGCCTTAATAGTGCCAGTAACTGAGCTGTTTTTGGGAACTGATTCAGTTCAAAGGAAAAAAAAAATCAAGTCTGCAAACCGTAGATATTTAACCTGGAGTGGTTTCTCAATTCAGCCACAGCACAACTATGGACCACAGTTCTAGTAAAATACCTGAAAATGGCAGTATACAGGGTGTGAATAAGTAGGCAGCGTGCAAGAACAGCATACACTTGTAGTTGGTGGTGAAAATTCTGTACGTAAATTACAGCTTTAGCACTATTTTCTCTTGGGTTGCTTTATCTAATAAAGGCCAACTCAAAGGAGAGGGAGAAGAATTTTGAATTTATATAGATGAAAGAATTTTGGAATTCCCATTCAGAGTGCAGTTACATGTTACACTGTCTTCAGAGGTGATGCTGAGCAAATGAAGAGGAAGTGAGTTGCAATGTTGGAATGAAAATAAACAGGCTCAGGGAAAGGTGTCAAACAAGAAAATACTCCAAAACTTACTTAAAATGCAGTTATACTAAGAAAAAGTTATATGCTGTGAAAATGTACTTTATTCAGCAATTCTGATTCCATGAATAATCAGAGCCAGCTTCACTTATTTTACTAGGACAGCTAAAATTTTATTACTTGCAGCTCTGTGAAGTAGGACTGGATATTTTATTTTTTTCCAGCTCAAAATCTGCAACAGAATTAATATTTAAGGACATTCTCCTCAACAGAACTGATATCTGAGGAAATTCTGCACTACAGACATGGTATCAGTCACACTATACTGCAGACAAGTCTAAGCCAGATCAAATATCAATACAGATTCAGCTGTGGAAGCACAAAGTAAAGGTTGCTATGAAAGAAGCAGAAGAGGTTACCATACTTCTAAGTAAGTATTCTTTAAAAAAGTTGAGTTTCACTATGCAGCAAAACCGCATGTATTTCAAAATTTGCTTTTAGTCACACCTGTTTAATGCCAATAGAGGCAAAAAAATAGATTGAAGTATAAAAGAAAATAATTTAAGAACTCTAAATTCCAAAACAGGGCAATATTTTGTTGATTAAGTCCTTATTGTCTACTGCAATACACTACCCACAACTTTATTTTGTGTGTCCCAAGTAGATTTGGCTGGACTGGCCATTAGAAATTCTCTTACTTTTTTCTCCACAGCTTCCTTTTTTCATGTAAATGAAAAAATTTATGAAGCTGATTTGGGAGTCATTAGGTAGCATCCCACACTGATATTTTTGTAAAGTCCTTTAGAGTAGAATCATGGTTTAATAAGACACCAATACTCCTTTTTACAATATGATGTTATCTCTGCTTTGCAGTTTCAACATGTAGGAAGCATAAAGCAATAAAAATTTAAACTGTTAAATAGGGTGAGATCGTGAAACGTTAATTGCAGTCATAATCCCTCACACTTTGCTTTTTTACCACACAAGTAGATGAAAGCCCTACAACAGAAATGATGACTTGTCAGCATCTTCAATCCAAAACCAAGCCTTTTGTTGTTGTTGTTGTTTGGTTGGGTATTCGTTATCTTACATATGCAACTTTCGAGAATCACCATTCATCTTTTTAGAAAGTTTGAAGACTCAAAACCAACAAACAAAAATTTCTGGACAGCGTCTCAAAGCCTACTAAAATGTTCCTTTAGTGGCTTTTGGAGTTCATTTCGGCTTTGTTAGCAGTATTCAAACCATATGTATATGAAATCATCCTCACACTAATTTGATGTGATGAAGGGCAAAAAAGAAAGAGGGGAGTGGCCTGGTTCTCAGCAGATGGTTGCTATTGTGAGAGTTATATATAGAACAACTGATGAGCTGCAGTTACTTACAAAGAAATAGTTTTTTTCCAGGAATTCTGTGACATCATAAACCACATAAGCAGACTTTGGATGCCTTGTGATATCACAAGAATGCTACAAAGGAATTAATGCCAGGTCATCTGTTGCTGCCCATTTGTGGCAGGGTAAAAGAGGAATTCAATAACATTTAAGATCAAGACTTGGTAAAGCAACTATGTTTCATTTGGAAAAAATTATTAAGGCATATTTCAAGCCATACAACACAGAGTTGGTTTTTTCCAGGATCAAAATATACCTGTTTGCTGCAATTAAATTAATTGTATAGAAACTTTGTGACTTTAACTGTTACATCTATTCATACAAATGGGTTGCAAGAAGGTGGTTTCTATTTCAGTGAGAGCGTACAGCACAGTCATCGTGCAAGACAAATCTGAGTTGGATGTTTCTGGCAAGGAAAATGTCACGAAATGACCAAAAATTTGCTGGAGCCCAAGTTGTCCATCTTAATCGAATTCTTCCCTATCTTAAGACAACAAAACACTGCAGGAGTTCTTCCCCATGCAGGAATTTATGTATTTCCCAAATATTTAATTTGTTGCCATGGCTATTATAAATGTTGTTTTCACTAAGAATAGCTATAAATGTATGCTACTAGTCTAAATAAGTGAAGACCTATGAGAAAGTTTCCTAAATAGGAGAAAGATGTGTGAAAAGCTGCTTAAAAATCCCCATTAGACTAACAGAAGCTGCTATCTGGAAGAATAATGTATTGATTATGGCTGCCAAAACACTCTGACAGAGAAAATACATAAGAGAGGTTCAGGACTACTGGGACAAAAAAATTTTACAGGTGATAAATGCAGTTGTTCAGTCCTTATTGCAAACCATCTCCACTTGGCAGCTTATACCAGTCCAGTGGAATCTTTTCTTCCTTGAATCAAAATATTTGGAAGAATGTGAATTCCCTGTATGAGTGAATTACTGACTAGTCAATGCATAAGTGAAGAAACTGATTCTGAAATTTTGCATTTTTTTGAGAATGAAAAGGTACAAAATTTTCTTTAAAGGAGTGGAGTGTTTCTTTTTCCTCTTAAGGTTTTTTCACTTTTGAACTTTTTGAAGTCAAAAGAGAAAAGCACTGATAGCATCCAAGACCAATATCAAATTGATTTTCTCCAATCTCAAGTTACATTCAAAGGAATATCTGTAGGAAGAAGTTCTGACAGCTACAGTCATTTCATAGTTCAGATGGATATCTCTACCTAATGAATATAAACACCAGTTCCAACAGAACCGAGCTATACTGAAGAGTATGTAAGTTGATGATAGGAGGTTCCCACCTTTAAATTTGGTAAATGAGTGAGACCTTAATATATCTTTAGTTTCCTTTCTAAATAATGTGCAAGGGAAAGGGCTCTCCATGTGTACTTACGTACACTTGACATAGCTGAAACTGACAATTTTTGGCTGTGAAAATATAAGGATCAGAATAGGTGCAATCATTTCCAGAAAGCAATACTTTATCTTTCCATATTTAATACAAGTACAGTTTCACAGTTAGACCACAGAAGCTCAGGTAACTTTTAAAGTAATTAATATTCCCTGGTGAGGATACTATTAAACTTTTTATTATATAGTGCCTTTTATCCGTACAAATCCCAAAAGCATTTTAAGCACTATTCAAAGTAGTATGTACAACTAGTG